AGTAGATTTCCAGTTTTACATTTAACAAGTTACTATGCATTTTGCTTCACGATTACAGTTAACATCACAGCTCCATTGCTTATCCTACTTCTTCTGTTTCCTGTTTCCATCCTGCCTCCTTACCTACCCCTCTAAACTTTGCTCTTGTAAATGCAGCCCTGTGGATCTTGATCATTCTGACATGGGGTGAGCAGTTCCAGACCTGAAGGGTGACTGTGCTCATAGTCCTAGGGCAGCGCTTCTCACCCTGGGAGTCGAGACCCCATTGGGGCTTGAACAACCCTTTCACAGGGGTCGCCCGATTCATAACAGTAGCAAAATTACAGTTAGGAAGTAGCAATTAAAATCATTTTATGGTTGGGGGGTCACCACAACATGAGGAACTGTATTAAGGTCGCGGCATTAGGAAGGTTGAGAACCACTGTTTTAGGAGGTCCTATGTGTATCTAACCAGTAAGCCTAGTCTCTTTTATGGTTTTTGAGTTCTATTCTAGACTTTAATCCTGTTCAGTCTAGGACCTTCTAATGGGGTCTTTTTCAGTGTTTGGTAGTGGGAGGCAGGCACCACCTCTTTCTTCCCGTTTAGGGTTGTGGAGACTGACGTTTGTATCGGCCATTAGTCCATTGGACTAGTTGTTTCCATACATCTTTCCGTTTTCATCACTCTTCTTTTCTTTGGGAGGAAAGAGACCAGTATTTGCACCTTAGATGGTTGCCTTCCACCATTTAAGACCCCAGTCACGACCTGCCAAAGTAGAATATAGAACACTGACTCTGAACCATATGTCACTTGAACTTGGTGCTTCCTAGACTGAGGTCCTGAGCTCCCAGGCCCAGTGCCTCATTTCCTCAAGGTGTTTGGCTTTATCTAACACATTTTTGTAACTTTACCCTTTACCCCATGGACACTCCACCACATGCATGGATATATTTGCAGCAAAGGTAACACATATCCTCTGTCAAACCTGGAAATGTTCATGACTGTGCTCCACTCTTGCCATACCTGGTTAGCCTGCATATCTATCCAAGCATCTACTTGTAGATCACCACTATCACAGGGTTAGGTTGCTAACTACCTGCCTCTGTTGCATTTTAAAAAAAAATTTTTATTTAATTTATTTTTTTTAATCAATTTATTGGGGCTCATACAATTCATCACAATACATAGATCAATTGTATAAAACACATCTATACATTTGTTGCCCTCATTATTCCCAAAATTCACTTGCCTCTTGGGTTCCCGGAATCAGCTCATTTTCCTTTCCCCCCCACTCCACTTCCCTTCCTCCTCCCCTCTCCCCCATGCACCCTTAATAATTTATAAATTATTATTGTACCTTATATTACACTGTCCGGCGTCTCCCTTCACCCACCCTTCTGCTGCCCGTCCCCCAGAGAGTAGGTTATATGTAGCTCCCTGTGATCCATTCCGCCTTTCTTCACCCCCTTTCCCTCCTGGTATCTCCACTGTCACCCCTGGTCCTGAGAGGTTCATCTGTCCTAGATTCCCTGCGTTTCTGATTCCCATCTGTCCCGCTGTGCATCATCTGGTCTAACCAGGTCTGCAAGGCAATATTGGGGTCCTGGTAGTTGGGGGAAGGAAGCGTTTAAGAACCAGAGGAAGGTTGTGGGTTTCATTATTGCTATACTGTACCCTAAGTGACTCATCTCCCCACTACCCCTCTGGGAGGTATGTCCAATTGTCTAGAGATGGGCATTGGGCCTCTGTTGCTTTTAACTCTTGAAAACCTTTCACTCTCTTCCCCTGCCTCCATTTTCCGCCTGTTTCTCTCTTACTCTATATTGCCTTTCCCTTCACCCAAGTTAACTTGTCTACCATCTAGCGTGGGACTTCCCCTCCTTCCCTGTCCCTCCTACCCCTGGAAACAAAGGATGTTTCTTTTAGTGTGAAAACCTTTCTTGACTTTTCTCAACAGTAGTCTTATACAATATTTGTCCTTTGTAATTGATGAATTTCACTCAGCATAACACCCTCCAGGTTCATCATGTTATGAGGTATTTCATACATTGTTACACTTTTATGTTGCATAATATTTTTTGTCTGTATGTACCAATTTTTATTTGTCCATTCTTCCACTGATGGGCATTTCGAGTGTTCTGTCCTTTTGCTATTGTGAACAGCGCTGCGATGAATATGAATGTGCATCTCTCTCTTCAGGTTACCAAGTAGAGGGATTGCTAATTCATATGGTATTTTATTCCCAACTTTGAGGAAGTGCCATCCTGGAGTAGCCACATGATTGTCCCATTTTACAGCCCTTCCAGCAGTGTCACGGATTCCAGTCTCTCCCACTTCCTCACCAACATTGGCTGTTTTCTGTTTTTTTTTAGCTTTGCTATTCATGCTGGGGTATGGTGGTGTGGTGGTGTCTCGTTTTGATTTGCATCTCTAATGGCTAACGATCATGAGCATTTTTTATATGTAAGTGTCTATTCATGTTCTGCCCATTTTTAAATTGGACTACCTATCTTTTTCTTGAACTGTTCTATAAATTTTAGACATTATTCTTTTGTTTAATATGCCATTGTTAAATTTTTTTTTCCCCTACTCTGGGCTCTCTTTAAACTCTCTTAGTTCATAGAAGTATCTTAAGTTTTAGGAGGCTCCAGTCATTTAGCTTGTCTTGTGGTGTTGTTGTTGTTGTCTTGGTGTGGGGTGTGTGTATCATTATATTTGATCTTGTTTTTATGCCACTTCCCGGGCCTGTAGGCACGCTGGCGGTGTGCTGGGCTGCTAATGAAAAGGGCGGTCATTCGAGACTACCACCTACTCCGCCGTGGAAGACATGCTTTCTGCTCCCGGAACCATTCACAGCCCCAGACCCGCAGGAGCAGCTCTTCCCTGTTCTGTAGGTCTTCTTTCTCTGAGCCAGAGTCCACTCGATGGTTTAATGGGTTACTAGGGATCCCAAAGTTTGTCCCTTTTCCGTGAATATATTTCTTAAAAGTTTTATTGGCACATATACCACACATTTGACAACTTAATCATTCAGTCATATGAAGAATATTTGTGTAATCACCATCACAGTTTCAGAACTCATTGACAATCTTTATAGTTGTAGGTTTAACTATAGGTTTCAGATACATTTTGAGTGTGATATTGTATATGGCAGAAGATATGGCTCCTGTTTCAGTCTCCTGCAAATAGAGAGCCAGTTTTGCCAGCACCTTTTGTTAGACTTCTCTCTTGCTCACTTAATGTGTTTAGGCTCTTTCTCATAATCAGCTGTTGTTTTGGTGATTGGATTTACTTTTGTGTCCTCAGTTTTGCACCATTGGTGTAAGTGTCTATTACTGTATCAGTACCTGGATGTTCTGACTACCATGACTGTAGTGCGTTTTGAGACCGGGAAGCGAGCGGCCTCCTCCTTCGGTTTGTCTTCTTTGGTTCCACTTTGCTTATCTAGGGTCTCTTTCTTTTCCATATAAATTGGTTTTTCCATGTTTTTAGAGAATGATGTGGACTCTGGATAAGGATTGCTTGCTGCCTCTGTAGATTGTTTAGGGTAGTATTGATATTTGTACTATGTTAAGTCTTCCCACCCATAAGCATAGTATATATTTCCATTTATTTAGGACTCTTGTAGCAGTTTATTTATTATAATTTTTTTGTAGTTTTCTTTGTATAGACCTTTTCTTTCTTTGGTTTTATTTATTCCTAATATCCTTTCTGGGTGGATTTTGTAAGTGGTATTGTTTTCCTGATTCCCTTTCAGAGCTTTCATTGTTAGCATAAATGAATCCAACTGATTTTTGTATGTTGATCTCGTATTAGTTCCAACGATTGTCTTGTGGAGTCTTTGGGAATTTCTATGTATAGGACTATATCATGTGCATATAGAGTCTTATTCTTTTCCTATTTGGATGTCTTTAATTTCTTTCTTGCCGTAAAGCTCCAGCTAAAACATCCAACACAAGATTGGGTCGGAGCAGTGGTTGAGGGAATCCTTGTCTGATGCCTGTCTACAAAGAGAATGCTTTCAGTTTCTCCTCACTGAGAGCAGTGTTGGCTATTTGGCTTTTTACTATGTTGAGGAATTTCTCTTCTACTTCTGTTTTGCAGCAGGTGTTTTATCAGGAATGGGTATTAAATTTTTTCACGTGCTCTTTTCTGTATGAATCAGTATGATTGTATTGTTCTTTTCCTTTGCTTTATTTATGTGATGAATGACATTGATTGTTTTTATTAACGTTGAACCATCCTTGTGTACTTTGTATGAATTGAACTTGGAATTATGTTTTTTGGATAAATGGTTGGATTCTCTTGGCTAGGATTTTGCTGAGAATTCGCATCGATGCTCATGAGACATATTGGTTGATGGTTTTCATTTTTAGTGATGTCTGCCAGGTTTTGGTGTCAAGATTATGTTTGCTTCATAAAATGAATTTGGAAATTTTCATCCTTTTCTATACTCTGGAATTGTTTGAGTATAATTGGTGTTCGCTCTTTTCTGAACATTTGGCAGAATTCACCAGTGTGGCTGTCTGGACCTGGACTTTTATTGTTGTTGGGGATTTTTGCATGACTTAATCCATTTCTTCTTTTACTATAGGTTTGTACTTAAGTCAGCGCTAGTTTAGGGAGGTATTCCTAGGAATGAGTCCATTTCTTCAAGGTTTTCCAGTTCTTCATAACATTTATTAGTTTGGTCTGTTGTAATGTCACTAGTTTTTTTTTAATTTTATTATTTGTGTTATTTGTATATTCCCCTCCTTTTCTTCATCAGATTTCCCAGTGGTTTTTTTGCTGCTTTCATGTGCGGTTGATCTTTGTTAAATGGGCTTCTAAATCCACTGGTGGTTTGAGATAGAAAGTAAGACCCAGGGGAGACCTGACTTTGAGTTGCATTCTTCCCCTTGGCAAGGCTCTTGATGCTCATTGCCTTGGGCTTCCCCGCTGCAAATCCTCCTGGAGAGATGGGTAGGCGGCATCAATGACCTGTTTTCGTTGGCCTCACTCCTCTTCTGTTTCTCCTCAGCCTTGGGGATCAGTTCTACAAGGAAGCCATCGAGCACTGCCGCAGCTATAACTCTCGGCTCTGTGCAGAGCGCAGTGTGCGCCTTCCCTTCCTGGACTCGCAGACAGGGGTGGCCCAGAACAACTGCTACATCTGGATGGAGAAGAGGCATCGAGGGCCAGGTAAGCCATGCCACCTGTGGGAACTGAGCGTGTTTGGGCTTCTAGTCTGGATGGAGAAGGACTCGGGCTTGTCCAGGATCCATATAACTGGGGTGGGCCTTGCAGGGGAGGCTGTTGCAGTAGGGCCTTGAAATAAGAGAGGGCTTTAAAAGTTCATGGAAAAATGGGGGTGGGAGGAAATGCGATTTCCCACCAACTTTTAAAAAGTCTAACTCCTTTTATAGATTTTGGAAGGTATGCTAACAGAAGTATAAAAGGTAATATAGGGCAGGGGTGCTCACACTTTTTGAGGATGCGAGCTACTTATAAAATGATCTACCAACCACAAAAATGCAAAACATATGTTATTTTAATTTATTTATTACATTTATTCATAAATGCATTGAGAATTCTTTAGATGTACAATGTATGTGTATGTATCTTGCATATCTGCATGAATCCATATTGCACAACACAACACAATTAACTATGTACATTTTTTGTCATTACCTGAGTTTTCTCTGATGATTTGCACTGAATGGAATGAGCCAGGGATGCATAGTCTGATCATTAGTCCTGGTGGAACGGTACTTGGACTTAATGATCTTTCTGTGGGAAAAGGCTGACTCACATCAATAAGTAGAGTCGAATAATGCAATCAAGGAGGTAGCACATTTTCTCATGTTTGGGTACTTTCCCTCTGCGAGTAAGTTCCAGAACTATTCATGCGCTCTGGACTTCAGCTGAATGCTGGCTTGTGGTGTCAAAATCTCCCATTCCGTATGAAAGTGATACGTTTTGTCTTCTTACTGGGTCCAGCTCCCCACTCATTTTAATACCCTTTCTTACATTTAAAAGAAGAAAAACAAGGTCTAAAAATTGGCAATAACTTAGCTTGTCAGTTTTGCTGCACTTAATGCAGTTGTTTGCGCATGCGTTTGACACCTAAGATTGCATCTGGTTGTCTGCCCTGTTTATCAATTAAGTGACGGGATTGATGATAGGCTTACGTCTATTTTTTTAGTGCCATGCGATCTACCCACGCTACATGTGTGATCGACTAGTAGATGGTGATCAATATATTGAGCACCCTCATGTAGGGCATTGAAGCCATGCCACTGGGGAAGAGTGAAAGAGTGGAACTTGGCTCACCCTGAGATAAGAAGGCCTGGGTTTGAGGGTTGACTCTCTTAGCTCACATTTACTTGCTTAGGTTCCTTACGTAAAATGGGGACAATTCTAGCTACTTATTTATAGGGCTTTTGTTGGGATTAAAGGGAGCTCTTCATAGAAAGCTCCTAGCATGTTAGCTCATGGTAAGTCCTCCAAAGATGTTGAGTATTGTCATTGATGTTCCTGTGATGATTGCTGCTGTCACTAGGACAGCGATCTTCTAGGCTCCTGAGGACAGGATGCCATCCAGCGGGTGGCAATTACGGTAACAACTACAGGCATGCAGCCTTCTAGCTCCAGATGGTCGCATTGAAAACATCTCTTCATTATGAAAAATATTACAGCGAATGCAGTGCGTGCTTGTTATCCCAAACCCTTGTATCTACTTCAAAACATTTGAATATAATAGGCTTTCAGGAGGTTGGGGTTATGGACATAAAAGGATAAGTAAAAAGAGCATGGTTATAAAATCATAGAAACTTTTTTGTGAGAAAAAAACGTGTCGCTGCTGTTTCTTGACTCAGCCCCCATCTAGGTCTATACACAATTGAAGGCGATGTTTCCACCTCGCTAACTTTCCCAGAAGAATTCTGTCCTCTTTTGAGCATAGTTTTGGTCCTCTAGGAACTCAAATTGTGTTCCTTTTAAATGTCCTTTGAGATTTAAGAACAAAAAGAAGTCTGCAGGGGACAAGATGAGTGGATAGGGTAAGGTTTCCCAATGAAATCCTTGTAGAATAGCCCTCACCACTTAGGATGGTAACACATTCCTTCTTGCAACTTCCCCTGGCCTTTTCCTTTCCAATGCACTAGTCAGTTTTCTTACAACGTTTCCCTAATAAGTCCTTGTGATCATCCTGCGCCCTTTGGGAACATCTATCAAGATCACCCCTTTGAAATCTGCCCAGTCTCCATAACCTTCTCAGCCGACCTCTCAGTCTTGAATCTAACTGGCCCCACAGATCCCTTGGGAAGCCGCTGTTTTGACTGGGTCTTTTTTGTGAAGACCCCCCCCCACCCCCCAACAAGGTGGAGACATGTGTATGACTGGGAGAGCTTGTCTCCAGTCCCCCATTGATTGCAGAGACACACTGTGTGGAGTAAACCTGCAAGGATACGGCCGGAAGGAGCCCTGGTACCTTAATGGGTTACTCCGCTCCCTTAAAGATTTATAGCCCCTGAAACCCATGAGGCAATTTTACTCTGTGCTCTAGGGTTGCTGTGATGTGGAATCAACTTGACAGCAGTGGTTTAACAAACAAACAAACAAACAATGACCTGGAGCCCTGGTAGCAATAATTTGGACGTCCCTTCATATGGGCCGTTGGAGCTGCCTGAGTGGATGCTGTATGTGTGATGCATGTCTGTCGCTCTGAGCCAGCATATTACTTAATGTGTAACTATTGCATAACGAAAAATTCCTCCCCCCAAGCCCACAACCACTGTCAAGGCTCAACGTGTTAAGATAAGACAATATCGGCTACTGGGTCGACATTTCTTTCCCCATGGTTTATTTAAGTCACCCTCTAAACAGGCTTCCTGCATCTCTGTTGGTTGCTAATGCCTCTTAGGTGGTTTCCGGTGTGCAGGTTCTTCTTTCTCCCACTTAAAAAAAAATCACTTTATTGGGGGCTGGTACAACTGTGATCATAATCCATGCATGCATCCATTGTGTCACGCACATGTGTACATTTGTTCTCCTCATCATTCTCAAAACATTTGTTTTCTACTTGAGCCCTTGGTATCAGCTCCTCATTTTTCCCCTCCCTCCCCGCCCCCTCCCTCATGAACCCTTGATAATTTATAAATTATTATTATTTTGTCATGTCTTACACTGTCCGATGTCTCCCTTCACCCACTTTTCTGTTGTCCGTCCCCCGGGGAAGGGGTTTTTTGTAGATCCTTGTGATTGGTTCCCCCTTTCTGCCCCACCTTCCCTCCACCCTCCCGGTTCTCCCACTTCTTAACCTTTGTGTGTTACCTATTGAAGGTTTCCCGGGTCTGAATTTGCTGAGTGCCAGCCCTGAGAATTGGTGGGTAGGCCTAGAGACCTTGGGTAAGAAGTTTTCCTACCTGGTAGTGTGAGCGTTCACACCGGGAGGCTTTTTACTGATGATAATTGCCTAGATCTTCCCTGAAGGGTTGAAAAAGGGTGTATTCAATTCTGTCATCACTTACTCACCTATTAGCTGTGCATTACCTCTACGTAGAATCTCTCCCTCACTGAAACTCCTTTTTGTGAGGTGCAATTCACACAGGAAAGGCAGGATCAATGATAAACTGGTAAACAGTTTTCAGAATGATGAATTGGTCCCTATGTTCTCAAAAAATGATTAATGCTGTCTTCTTTCTTTTTTTCTTATTACTATGATGAACTCCTTGATTTAGACATATTTGACGTACCTTAATCCAGTGCAGTAATTATTCTTACCGCTGCTCAGGTAGTTCCATCTTGGCCAGTAGGGGTTTGGGACAGTACTCATTATGTTCTCCCGCTTGGAACAATGTATTTTCTTTGATACTGTTTTTGAAACTTCACACAGCAGAACATACACTGGGCTTGTGGTGGGTGTTAGGCCTCAAGGTTATTTCGCTGAGCTGGAGCACTGAGGGCCCAAGGTCCCACTGAGTTCATCGAGCCAAGTGCTCGATGGTGTCCGGAGGTGGTGCACTTCTGATGACAGACGTGGCAGCTGGAGAGCAAGGTTGCGACGATGATGGCATGGGAAGGGGTGGGTCCATCTCATGCTTGCTCCAGAGGTAGAGCCAGTGTGGTCCCCTTCATCACCAGCAAGCAAATAGTGGGCTGCATCTGCGAAGGAAACATTGCTGCCATCTGGTGTGGGCTGCACACAGGTGGTGCCCAGTGATGCCCTAACTGTGGGACCTGTTACAGGCTGGTGCCCACTAACTACCCCCTGAGCTTCTGCACTGACTCACTCTAAGACATTGACTTTTCTTTAGTTAAGACTAGCCATCGCACTGGCTCCTCCTCCCATTCAAAAAAAGAACATACACCGATTTCACGGTCTCTTTGTGTAAGTTCCAGTGACTTCTGTTACCTTCTTCAGGTTGTGCGGTCATGCTCACCCTCTTTTCTGGACGGTTCTGCCCCCATTAGCATAGTCCTGGTGGTTGGAAACACCCCCAGCAGTTTTTGACAGGTCCCTTGCAATCCACCAGGGACCGGAGATGTTCCAGGCTCACCTTGCAGACTTGCTGGCCTTGACCTGGGACCAGCTATTTCTCCAAGATTCCCAGTTCCTTTCTGTAGGGAATGCCATCCAGAGCCACAAGATGGTGGTGCCTGTGGCCCTGGACTGGTTAGTGTTTCTCAGCCTTTTCAGTGGCCAGAACTTACAGGTACAATTTCTAATTATTTTAGTAAAGAGAAAAGAACATTATGAAAGAAACTGATATTTCCCATTTGAATTCAGTTTTACTTCACTGTAGTTACCTGTTTTTATTTCCTTTCTCCCACTAAAAGTTTTCTGCGTCTGATGACATTTGATACATAATTACCTATTTGCTTTATTCCATAGTGCACACGACAGTATTAGATAACAAGATTACTGAATACAGTATGTGTACACACACACACACACACACACACACTTTTCAATTCTATTTGCCTTTTGGTACACCCCATCAAGATTCTAGACTCATAAGGTGACCAGATTTAAAGCGGGACACCATTGACTGGGGAGCCGGGGGAGGGGCTCTTGATTAAAAACTTGGTCTATATGGACCAAATAGACCGTTCCCTAGCTTGTCTTGCATTCTTTCAAAAAATTGGGACTTTTTTAAAACACCAAAAATTAGGACTGTCCCACCAAAAGCAGGACGTCT